GAGCTGCATGCAAAGACATATCCTGCATTGCTCAGTCAGGGACAGGAAACAGCCCAGGCCCCCTGGGAAGAAGAAGATGACTTTCCTCTGTGCTAGCTCCTCATTGCTAGTTTGACTGAGTATTAGAACTCTCTAATTTTGATCACCCAGCACAATAGGAACAGAATAAACTATACACCAGCTTCCCAGGAGGGTTAAACACTGCCAATTAATGTGCCCCTAACAAATGGCCTGCTATCAGCTCCTTAGAGGGAGCTTAGCACATGCAGGCCCAGTCCATGCTGGGCTAGACATTATAATATACAGCAAGCACTCAGGAGAGAACCGCCTGGTCTGGTGAGTCTGTCCAGGCTCCTGGAACCCTAGTTCACAATGGGTATATGCAGGCATAGCCACCCCCATGCCAATGACAAGGACCTTTCCTTTGGAGGGGAACCAGGGCAAGTGGGCTGGGCAGTACCTCACTGAGAACACGGGTCTGCGCCCTCGGTGTGACGAGATGGCCACGCGCGGGACTCGGTTCTCAGCCTAGGATGGTGGCACAGCTGGAACTGACCATTGTGGGTGGCAAAGAACTTGCCTATGAGGGTGAAAGAGGAGGGGCTAGCTACAGCCGTGTGCTCTCCATGTATATCTGCCCCTGGATGACTGTAGGGAATACTCCAGTTCTGCTGATGCCCCTAGAGAGCTGCCAGTGGCGTGGGGGACCTGCCTAGGACATGCTGGCCCCAACTTCCAGCTCTATGCTGCGTGGACAGCCCTGAATGCATGTGGGGCCCGCTAGTGTCCTGGTGCAAAGCAGGAGGGATGTGCCCTTGCCAGGAGGGGATGCTGTGTTGCAATGGCACAGATTTCACAGCGTTGTGGCGGCAGTTTTGTTGTGAAGGACAAATGGGGTGGGGAGGAGGGAGCAGCACATCCAAGTGATCCAACCAGCCCTAGCTCCATCCAGCTCCCTGTCGCATGAGGACTCCCTGGCGGGCATCTTACGAGCTAGGCCTGCTTTTCCAGACCCTGTGTGGGCACATTTCCCACGAAGCCTGAGCTTTACCCCTGAGCACATGGCTCGGTGGCACAAATGCCCTTGCCTGCATGAGCTGTTCTGTGGCTGTGTACTCAGTGGGCCATTTAGGGGGATGCTTCCTCTCCGATCTGGAAGTGGGTGGGGAAATCCCTAAAAACTGCAGCTGGTGATGAGTAGCCACCAGGGCTTTGGAGGCCCCTGTTGTTGCAGATTCAGCTGATTCACCTGTGTCACCATTCCCCCTTTCCTGTCTGAGTTCACCATCACGGCAGAGACCGGCTCTCCCCCCATGCTGCCTTGTGCCTGGAAAGTTCTGCTTCGGTTCCAACTCTGGGCTCCATATAGGGCAGGGTCATTAGAAACCCACAAACAGGTGTATGGTATGTGGAGGGGGATCACTGCAGTCTGAGGGGGCTTACAGGCAGGGTAGAGCAGATGGTGGGGAGTAATGGGTACACAGAGGCAGGAGAGCTGGCCAGATAGGGAGAGTGGGCTACAAATGGAGACCTGGACAGTTGGCTTACCCCAGAGGGCCTGCCCCAAACCCAGCTGTAGTGGGGATGTCAGGAAGGTGGCCAGCTGGTTTCAGTATTTAATGGCCCACGTGAACAGCTTTAACCTCACTTGCTCCTGCTTGTGACTAATTCATTGGGAAGGAGGTACCTGTCCAGCTCACTTAGCGCATCTTTGCTAAGAACATGCTGCAGCGCATTATGTCTGAATTAAGGCGTCCATAGCGTCACACCTCTTAATTACCCTGAGATTCCATTACGGACACATGCAGCACCAGGGCTGTGTGGCAATGGGGCCGTGTCAGTAACACACTGGGGCTGACTGGTCTGGGAGCAGGGAGGGGTGATTGGAGGCTAGTCCCCAGCTCAACCTGCCATCCACTGGGGCTTTCTCATCTCAGACACGGTTCTCAGCCTTCCCCTGTCTGTGATGGGTCTGCAGCTCAGCCCAACTCCCAGCTACATCTCACCTGGCTTTGCCCATTCTCTCTCCCTCTCCCTCCTGTGGGTCTATTTCTCTTCTCTTCGGTTCCCTCTTTCCCTTCTCTGGGTTGGGTGTGACATTTGCTATTCTTATCCCTCAGCCCCCATTCTCCCACATCTCTGCATCACTTTGAAGCCTCAGCTTCTCTCTCAAACTTCTCCCCAGATACCTCTCTCCCTGCCAATTCTCTGCCCACCTCCTCACTCCCAGATCCCTCCTTCCTCCTTCCCCCCCAGTTACACAGACATTTGCCAGACTGGATCAGATCCAAGGTCCCTCTAGTCCAGTATCCTGGATCGGGCAATGGCTGGTACCAGCTGCTTCTGACGAAGGTATAAAACCCCAGCACCTAATGCTCTCCCTCCCTCCGGGCTTTCCCCCTGCACGACTTGCCCCGTCTCCCCCTGGAGACTGCTCTCTTGTTGCCCACACAGACACCAGGCTCCCTCCCAGCTTCTCAGCAGCCCCTTCCTCTGCGCCCTGTTGGCTGCCTCTCTCCACTTCATGCATCAGGCTCCCCAGCTCCAGCTGAGTGCAGCTCTAGAGAAAGATACAGGGGGTCAGAGCTGGGAGCCAACTGCCTGCAGCCATGATATTCAGCCTGCAAGAGCTAGGCTGCTGAGAAGCTGCCTGCCCCACGGTCCCAGGACACTGGCTGGAACAGTTCAAAACCCAGAACTGTCCCAGCCAAACCAGACTGTTAATGGCTGTGCTGTGAGCTTCCCTTCCCTGCCCCAAGCCCCATGTACCCGAGGGATCTATGGGGGAGAGGACAGGGGAACATCCCTTCATCCATCGTTGTCTCTGATTAGCCCCTCGGAGACTGGAGGAGGAGGTGGGTGTAACCACTGGAGACACTGAAGATTGTATTTGGCTTCGGGCCACAAATGAAACAAGTGCAGTGGCCTCAGCTGGGGTTATTTGTGTAGCATGGAATCACGGCAGGGTAAGGCTGATAGGTTCTTAGGGGAGCCCGGAGTGGAACAGCAGGGGGAGCCTGCAGGTCAGGAGTGAAGTGCATCTGCAGAGGTATGTGGGGCAAGCCTGGGACTGGAGCACCATGGGGAGGCCAGGTGTATTGGCAGGACTGAAATGGTGGGGGGGAGTATGCAGGCCATCGGTAGGTGCCTTGGCAGAGCTGTGGGGAAGGGCAGGGCTGCTGCCCTGTGCTGTACCTGCTCTGGGGCTAACCCAAAGGAGCCAGTCTCCAGCCCTGTCAAAAGGGGAAACCCTCTAGGAACATGGGACACTGCGTGTTCTCTGCTCTGATTGGATGGAAGCTGCGGTCATGAACTGGCAGGCAGTGCGTGGGAACGCGGGCGTCATCAAGATTCAGATATGCAGCTGACAGCACCACTGTTCCTTAAAAGAAAAAACCCTTTCCACTTACTGTACCAGCTCATGTGCTGAAGCATGAAATGGCGTTAATACGGGAGTGATTAGCTCTTGGCAATGGCAGATGGATTTGAGAATGACAGTGGCTGGGCTCCCTCTGAGAGGGAGCGGAGTTTTACTCTTCTAGGAATGATTCCTTTAAGGGGCAAAGTCCTGGAAAATAGCACTGACCTGTACTGCATAGAAACTGTTTGCCCATTGGGTCCCATGGTCAGTGCTTGCTGTGTAGGGGACCCACATTGAACTGGTCTGTAAAATCTCAGGATTTTCTTCTTTTCGCCTGAATGGGAATTTCAATTAACACTCAATCGAGTAACAACTTAAGTTAAAAAGTACACTTTGTGTGTGTCCCAAACATAAACTGCTTTGTTTGTGTAGGACCGATAGGAAGGGTGGAGGTTATTATGGGTAATTGCAATTATTAATTGCTAGAACAATTGATCTGAGAGAAGCGCCCACTGGTGGAAGGCGGGTGTTTAGTACTACAGCCAGCTTTCCTGTAGACCCTTCTGCGCCAAACCTCGCCCCTCCAGAAAGCTCATCTGAGCCAGGGCTTATACTGTTTAGAAAGACACTGCAAATTGCAGCCAGGCCTTTGGAGTACATTTCCCCCTCCTACCCCCTCCCATTTAACCCCTCCCCAGACCCCATCATTAACTGCACATCATGCAAGGCGAATTAAGTTCCATCACAGAGCCAATCAGGAACCTGCATGAAATGCCAGCTCCTGAAAGTGTGTCATTGGAATGAAAATGAAGAGCAAACATTGCGTGGTAGCCTGTTTTCCCATGGAGGGTGACTTTGGGCTACAGCCTCGAGCTGGAAGGAAGGCGCAGTAGGGAGCAATCCTGCATCGGGGCAGGAACAGGGTGAGGGGTTCTCTCCATCTCTTGCCTCTGAGGCCACAGACAGTCGGCTCCAACACCGCTGTCAGCGGCCAGAGATGTCAACTGAATCATGTACAACGTCTGTGTTTGTGTGAAATTTGTGGCAGAAGGTGTGACCATGCCCCTTGGGGGCTGAGATGATTATTTAGGGCCCCTGGTCTGGGAGGCATTTGCTTGCCAGGAAAACCCAGAGCAAACAACTGCAGTGTGTGAAAGACTCATTTTCCAAGGCTGCTGTCTCTCCGCGCTAAGTGTAGGCTGTCCTGCACAGACGCACACACAGGGGGCCTGCCTGGAGACGCTTACAGCCCACAGCCTGCACTGAGCCAGCTGGGAGCTGATGAGTTTCATGCAGTGAGAGGGTGATCGGGGCAAGAAAGCCTGAGATGTAGGGAGGGATGCAAAGGAAGGAATAGTAATACTAACTGGTGTTCGGTCTGAAAGCAGGTCCTGTTGACTCCTGGCACCTGGCAGCATCTCTGGGCTTGTATAGCACTTTCCATAAGATGGCCAAGCAGTTTACAAAGGTAGGTCTGTAGTGCTCAGAGCTGGTTTACTGAACCTACTCCTTGAACAGTGCTTGGTATTCTTATGTGCCAGCAGATGGCACTCTTCCTACTGACTAGCTACATATACACATCTATAGATATCTCTTTTGTAGTGTTCTGGCCATAACTATGATTATCCCCACTTTACAGGCAGGGAAAATGAGGCAGAGGGACAGGAAGTGAGTTGTCCAAGGCCTTACAATGAGTCGATGGCACAGCCAGGACTAGAACCCAGGAGTCCTGATTCCCATCCCAGGCCCCTATGCTGAGTGCACAGCTGTAAAGAGCCGTATAGAAGATGCACAGAGCCAAGGTATGAATTTTCCATGGGATCCAGAGGTCTCGGTGCTCCCTGTAGGAAAGTAACTAGGACCAACTGAGACTGTGAAGACACGAAAACAGTATCCGAGCTGACTGCTTCTCAGTGGTGAGTATGTCTATGTTGAAGTTGAAACCAGGATGCATTTTTAATGATGCAGGCAGGGCTGGGTTTCTTTAAATAAGATTAAACAGTGAATACAGGCTCTGTAAACTGTGTAGTGCACCACAAATGCATTATTTACAGCAGCTCCTGCCATGTTCATTTTAATTTTAAATGGGCTTCCCTGTATGCACCAAAGAAAGCAACAGAACTATTGTGTCTCTTCTGTCTCCCCACATGTTGTGTGCCATGAGGAAACAGATCTGACCTGTTAAAGGGTTTGGTGCAGCTCCATCCACTGACTGAATTTTAGCAGGAGCAGCCAGATAATCTGATATGATGAATGACACTTGGAATTGGAAACTGAGTCAGCAGATGTGAGGATATTGGAAATAACTATCCTGGTGACTTCTCCTCAGACAAAATAAGTAATAGAAACAAGAATTCAAATTGTGCAGTGGTTAGAACAGGCAACTTACGGTCAGGAGACCTGTATTCTATTCCTGACTCTGTCACTGATACCCAGTGTGACCAGTCACAGTATTGCTCCGTGCCTCAGTTTCCCCGTTTGCGAAATAGGAATAATGCTACTTCACCCTCTTCTCTGATGAAAGGTGCTAGGTAAATGTAAAGCCTGATTATCATCCTCGGAGAGGACACAAAGAGATGTCTTTTAACCTGATATTATATTTTTTCAATTCCAGTGGAAAGAGATTAGTATAAAACTAGCTGGAACTGAAAGTCTAAATCACAGCAATCACCCTCTCCAATTTAAACCCGATGGGAGCGCAAGCCATCCTGTGCAATACTCACATACAGAGCACCATCTCTGCTGCTGCCGCCACTTGTTGGAGGAGCAGAAAGCCTTGTCTGGATAGAAAATCCCACCTGTGGTCCCAAATGCCATCAAGAAATCCGATCTGCACTGCAAAGAGTCTACAACTCCACCTGGCTGTAGAGAGGAGATGGGGAGAGTGTGAGCTGAAAAATACAGTGAATGTTGCACTGTGAAGAAGCTGGTGGTTGTGGTATGAAGGGAGGTGGGGGCTTGGCCAAGGTGGCAGATGGCTCTCAGAGATATGGCACTCTTCTAATGAGCTGATTTGGCTGTGGAAAAGGAGTGAATGCTCTGCACAAGTACGGTTCCCAATTCCAAGTGCTGTCCACCTTACCAAGTAACTGACAGTCCCTGCTAAAATGGTCCACAGTGATGTGCATGTTGACATTCAAACAGCTGTTCTGAGGTTTCTTTCAGTCAACATTCTATTGCAGTGAGTGGGCTTACCTTACCTGTCTCGTAGAGCTATTGTCTCAGGCTGCCTGCAGACTCAGCCAGACAGTCCTGCCTCATGCCACCTCTGCAACCAGAAAGGGCAAACAATTTATTTATCTATCTTTAATTAAAGCTAAATGCTGCAGAAACTGCTGGGGCCACCCATGAAGTACAATATGTCCCCAAGTAGCAGCTCCAGCCAACCTACTTGTGTGTACTGTACAATGCTTCCCTTTAGAGGCCGGACTGTACCAAAGCAGCTGTTTGCTTTGCTCTAGTGGCTTACCTAACACAGGGTCTGCTGTAGCTCACTAGGCAGAGGCCCTTGCTTTGGGGAGTGAAAGGCTGTGAGTTCTGTTGCTGATATAGCTTAGGCTGTTTGCCATGTTTCAGGATTATCAGATGGTGTTAGATATTCTCACTCCATTCTTTGTGGTGCTGAAGGAGTCGGGGAGAGAATCTGTCTTTTACCTTCAACCTACCCCCGAGTAGAAGTCAGGCTTGTCTGCATTTGGTTTCACACTGTGGTGAGAGGCCTGGATTTGGTTTAGCAGGTGATCTCAGCGTCACCTAGCAAGGAGCCCACAGATCCCAAGGAGTCACTCAGGCTGCAGTGTGGAAGCACCAGCAAGAGTCTGTGAGGGGAATTGGAAGCCCAAAGATAATGACTGAGGGACTCAGTGTTAGTCTCACCAGCACCACCAGAGCCTGTAAGGTGCTGAGATGCAGGTTGATGACTTGGAAAATAGCCTTAGATGAAGAAATATCAATACAGAAAGTCATTCCTCCCTAACAGCCCCCAGAGTGGCCTACGTGAAATGGGCAGGAGGTCTCCAGGGAGCTGGCAGGTGTCTACATCACGCTTGCTGAGTAACAGGCCAAGGACTGAATGAACCATCTCAGCCCCTACTGGCTAATCTAGAGGTGCTCTCTCCCCTAGAGTGGCGTCTGTAGGCCCATAGTCAAGGTACGTTGGCGAGGGACAGTGGCACAGTGTGTTGTATTTGTTCTGTGGAAATGGAGGACGTCAGCCTCTGAGACAGTGAAATCTGGTGTCTTTTGTGAGTACAAAGGCAGCCTTAAAAGAAGAGAGAGAGTGAGAGCCATGCAAACCTCCCATAAAAACAATCTTCCTCCTCCCTCTGTCCTCACCCCCACATCTCATCTCTGATTGCCTTGCTTTGACACACACGTATTGAAACTTACACCCAGACCTTCCAATAACGATCTGGAGAATCTGTCAAGCATACCCCAGAGTAATCACAGCAAAGAAATAACCCAATCTGCCCTCTCACCCTTTATACAAACTCGCTTTGGGATGACAGAGACATTTGGCAAATATATGGAAACAGCCTCCCCCATTCTCCAAGTCTAAGAACAGGTTGATCCAAGTGCTACAGGACACATAAAATAAAGACACCTCCCTTTTTTTTCCTCTTCCTTCTTCCCCCGCCTCAAGATGACCTAGGTCCTTGAACTGTGCAATCCTCTTGTTTTATACCCCTGCGGGGAGAGAACACAAACCCCTGCAGACGCAGACTGCTCAACAAGGGCTCTAATAGAAAAAATCCCCATTCCAGGGCTATAAGCACAACAAGCAAATGGGAGAGATGATTCTATCAGCCCTGTACCCAACAATACATCGCGCATACTTGGCAATCGAGAGGGTAGCCCTCAAGGATACAGTGTAAGATCCCTGTTAGCAGATGGCAAATGCCTTCCTCATGCATCAGGCAGGGGAACACAGGGCTGCATGGTGATGGGACCCCAAAACACACGTGGCCCCTTTCCCGGGTGCCTGTCTAGTGCATTTTGCTTTCTGCCCCTGCTAGCATTTGCAGCTGCGATACCCTGGGAAATGGCTCTATTCATTATCCATTTTAATTTCACTCTGTATCCCCAGAGCTCTACAGACATATTTTGTTATCCCGACTGTCAAGAAGCTTAAAGAGTTGCTGATGCCGACTGGAAATCTTTGACAAACCCTCTGTTTGGGCACCATTCCGCTTGCCCAGCCTGTCTGCTTTGTGCTTCCATTCCCTGGTTCTTTATTAGCAAAGACATCAGTGTGAGGTGGGGGAAATGGCAGGGTTGGCGTTGTCTGCTCCGGCTGCCTCTTGCCCAGCTGAGGATGGCAGAAAAGGACATACGGTCTCCACATCAGCTGGAACTAAGCTGCAGCGTTTGGATCGGGATGTACCCCAAACTCCAGGGCAGTTCAGGCTCCTCTTCTGCTACCGGAGACCTCATATCGAAAAAGTGTCTGTTGGTTTTAGGCTGTGGTATGTGGGCGCTAGACCTGACCTGAGGCCACCAAACCCTTTTCACACCAAAGAGCCCTAGTTTAGATAATCATTTTTGGCCACTCATTCTTAGCCTGGGCTGGATTCAAACCAATGAGCTGAAAGGGAATGCCTCCTTCGGCCACGACCACTCTCCTGAGCTAGTTTCTTTTTAACAAAATATTTCCAAGTCACCTTAAGGAACAGAGGGTCCTGTGGCACCTTTGAGATTAACAGAAGTACTGGGAGCATAAGCTTTCGTGGGTAAGAATCTCACTGGTATGAAGGGAGTGGGGGCTTGGCCAAGGTGGCAGATGGCTCTCAGAGATATGGCACTCTTCTAATGAGCTGATTTGGCTGTGGAAAAGGAGTGAATGCTCTGCACAAGTACGGTTCCCAATTCCAAGTGCTGTCCACCTTACCAAGTAACTGACAGTCCCTGCTAAAATGGTCCACAGTGATGTGCATGTTGACATTCAAACAGCTGTTCTG